GGGGGTCAGGCTAGATGATCTGTTCAGGTCCCTCCTGACCCTAGCTACTATGAAAATATGAAACCACCTTGCCATGAAAATGGGAGGCCACCAACCTTGGGGGCCCCCACTACCTGAGCCAGGGCCTGCACACAAGTGTCAAAGTGCAGGTTCTCCCGCATGGGCAGTTCACCCCGTGCCAGCAGGCGAGTGCCGGAAAGTGGGCTCCACCACCCGAGATGGAAAGGCTGGCAGTGGAGGGTCCAGGCCCCGCCAGCTTCAGGTCTCCCCACAGCTGCAGTTCCCCCCCACCCCAACGAGGGGGCCATGTTGGTGGGACTGGGCTAGGGCCAGGAATAGAATGAGTGGGTGTGCTGGCTGGTGTAGTGCACCTAGTCCCTTCAGGTGCTGGTGGTCTAGGCTTGGGGGCAGGGCCCCTGCCCTTCCCACCCCCAGCTGTGGAGGAGGCTGAAGAGGAGCCCTTCCCACTGCCTTTGTCCTTGGTCCCTGATGATGGGAGATGGGGCTTGGGAATCCCTCTGGGGGTGGGCAGTCTGGCCAAAGGAGAACCCCTGGTCCTGTTGATTCCCTACCGGAATCCCACCTGCCCCTGCAGCAGAGGTTGCAGGCTTCTCCACCCCCAGAGAAGGCTGGTCAGACTCTGCCTCTGGGGTGGAGGGTGCAGGGGCATGCATCCCCTTGGGGACTTGGCTGGGATCTGCACCCATAGTGGGGGCTGCAGAAAGCTCTGTGGGGGCATCTATCCCTCCCCCAGAAGTTTCCTGCCCTGCCATTGTTTCACATGAGGGCAGGGAAGACAATAAAGAAAAACAAAATATCCTGTGCAGCTGGTGAATCTAGTAGGGGCAGGCTGGGGTTGTGGGGGAGAAGGGGGGTAGGGAGAAAGGGGGCTGAAGCTCACCGAGCTACAGCCCCACAGGAAAAAAACCTGGAAGGGCTATGCTTTGAGAATGTGGGGGAGGAGGAACACATACAAGGGCTGGGGAAGCTTGACCTGGCTTACTCAGCCACACAACAAACACCAGGGCAGGAGGATTGAATCATAGGACTTACCACACAAGGACAAAAACACACAGGGAAGGCTGCTGAGGCAGGTGTAAAAGATGGCTGGAGCAGTGGAGGGGCTTTGTTTGTTGAAGATCTGTCCCAAAGTCCCTAAGGCCTCCAGCCAGGTGTTTAGCAGCAGAGCAGTAGGCAGGAAGACAAAGCAGGATCATATGCAGTGAGGTAGCCATGGGGGAGGGCAGGAGCAGTCAGTCAATTAGGAAGTAATACAGTGCAGGTGTGGTGTAAGGTAGTACAAGTTGGTGCAGCAGGGAATCTCCCTCTCTCCTGAGAGGGGGCATCAGCAGAAACAACAGCAGCAGCAATGGTAGGAGCCATCCAGTTCAGTCACTCAGGGCGTGCTTCTAGTGAACATAGAAGCTGGGGTGTGGTGCAGTGCAGTGGGCCCCTCCCTCAGGGGGGCCAGCAGTGTGCAGCAGAAGACACCCCCCCACGGTGGGGGGCAGCCACAGCCAGGAAGAGGTGCAGCCAACTTACTCCAAAAGCTCTGAGACCAAGCCAGCAGCTAACATTAGCCAGAGGCAGGAAAAGGCCTGACCATCTTCTCCCCAGAAGCTCCTAAGTCCAAGCCTGAGGTGGCAGCTGCAGTGACAGCAGCCTGAGACAGAAAGGGGTGAGGCCAACTTCCTCCCAAAGGCCTCTTCCCCCAGAAGTTCCTGAGGGCAAGTAGCCCTGAGCTGCTCACCAGGGCAGGTTTTTATACTGCTGGGGCCAGCAAAGGCTCTGGCCCCAAGCTCTAGCTCCCCCTGGCTACAGATCCAGGAGGAGCTGGGCAGGGTTGTTTTGCCCCAAGTGGCACAACTTACCCCATACCAAAGTGCATGTCTGGGCACATGCTCTGATGCAAAAATCCCCAATTCACACTTGTGCCGCTCCTATTTGAGCTGTTGCAAGCTCATGTGCCTGCATGTGTGGATATGCCCATGGAGCTTTTCTTGGGATATGTGCCTGCTCGTTATCTCAGTGCAAGTCTCTGGTAATGTCACAGTCAGTTCTTAGCACAAGATCATGCTGTATGTCATAAGCAGTATGAGAATGGTTCTTATTCTTTAAATATAGCTACATACTATGATAATTTTTGGCTTCATTCTCAACTGCTGTAAAAATACATGGTTCCATTGGCTTCAATGGAGTTGCACTGATTTATACTAGCTGAGAAGCCTTTGACTCTTCAGCTATCATGATTCATTTACAGCTGAGTGGACAGGGGGTAAGCTAAGAACAAGTTTGAACTCTTTAACTGCTCTGTCCTCACAACATGTTCTCTACTAGGATAGCACAGTATATTTCTCTTGCTGAAAATTACCTGTAATAAAATCAGAAAGACCAACCAACCATGAGAACTTTTCTTCTCACATTTTCTTACATAAAAAGAAAGGGTCCAGTCTTCACAGCTTTCATTCTTACTCTCATTGGGGTCAATGAATTGTCGATTTAAAGGCCACATGACAGGAATAGAAGTCTCATTTTTTTACTTTTATTTTTATGATTATATTCTCAGGACCAGCATGTTTGTATCATCCAACTCTGGTATTGCTAAATTAGCTAGGATGACAGTGCATCCCATTTTAAGCACCTGTGCCAGGTGTTTAAAAAGGCATCCTTTTTTTTTGAGAAAATAAATCACTTTGTCCTCTTTTCAGGAGGCTTGCTGGCACAGAAAAGCAGCAAGAGAGAAGAGGGAGCAGTGTCCCATTTTGAGAACAAGGAAATATGTTCACCATACATAAGGCTGATTTAATCAGGAACGCAAAGATTACTAGGTATGGCAGAATCCCCTGGTAGCTTAAAAGTAATGTGACAAGTTCGATATAATTCATCCTGGGCCTAGCCAGAGTGCTGCACCATAAGTTTACAGTAGCACTGAGGTGGATCCTTCTAAGTTGCAAACAGGAGGAAAAGGAGAAGGAAGGGCTAAACTGCCCTGAAGCAAACCCAGAAACTATGGGGAACAAGGGAATATAAAGATGGTATTGAGCCACCTTTCTTTACTCTCCCTTCTGAGTCCAGGTTGACCAGATCTTAGGACCAGGGCCTTCCATTTTTACAGATAAAATTTCAAATTAAAAACTAACCGGTAAATCCAATTTATATACTGAGACAAGTCCATGGCACCCAATATTTGCACATGCAAATAAAAACATCTAGCTTGGCTTTATGGGAATCTAGCTGCACATGCAGTTCTCAGACTTACCAATGCAAATGTCTGCTTGCTAACATGGAAGCTGGGTTTTGTTGTATAGCAACTGCATGTGATTTGGGGTTGATTTGCCTAAAAATGTCTATTGCTCTCAGCAATTACAGATTTGCACAGCTTTTCTCTTTAACTACAGAATGTACTAATTCACCCACCAAAACAATTCTTGTACTTGCCAATTAAGGATCAAAAACGTTCATATAGTCCCTTGGAACTGAATGGACAACACTCAGTCTGTAACCCTTGATGATAATAAAATTATAATCTCTTTAAGTCTTTTTTTGAAGGTCATTAACCAAGTGCCCTCTCCTTTTCCTTCTCTCCATCCTCCAGAAAGCTACTTGCATATAAACAACACAAGAAAAAAAGAGAAACAGACCAAATTCTTATTCATAATTTAAACTAACTTCTAAACCAAAGCAGATGGCAAAAAGACTGTGGAATAGCTGACTCATCAGCTGATCAGCTGTATTTAAAAGAGGAAAGCCAGAGGAGGGATCATCAGCTTATCTCTCAAGAAAGTCTCTGTCTGCCTGTAAGAATATTTGCAAGATGATAAAGCTGTTCTGACATAAAAAGACATTTGTTTTCCTGATGGATGTCAGCCATTGCAATCTGCAAGCTTGTCTGCAATACTAGCTCTTTAATGCTGGAGGAATTTTCAAAATTGATAAACCAGATGAAAAAATAATGCTTTCGAGTTTTCTCTAGAAATAAATCATTGTCTAACTGCACAGTCTTCACTAGAGTGAATTTTTCATCTATTTCACTCATAGTGCAAAAGATGTTGTAGCTATGATGGTCCAGAAATCATGCAAGAGGCAAGGATTTCTTTGGGTGATGTCCTTTATTGGACCAACTGTCTAGTTGGGATCAAGTTAGATAGGCTTTTGAAGGCAAAACGTTTTTCCACAAGTGATCATAACAAGCCAAGCACCACATAGTAAAGAACAGCAATGGGAAGAGGTGAGAGAAATTCCCAGGGTACATATTTTACCCAGCTTCTGAATTTCTTCCACACATGAAAGGTGAGAATGACCCTCCACCCTTCTGATACACCTTTATCTCTAGTAATCAGCTTCTTTTCTTCTGCTAATTGTGTGTGTGGTCCCCTTGGAATTTCTCTCATTCCTTCCCACCGCTGTTCTATACTATGCTGTGCTTGGTTCCTTGTGATCAGACCTGAGAAAGAATGCCCTGCATTCAAAAACTTGCCTAACTCTATCCCAGCTACCTAGTTGGTCCAATAAAAGATAGCATCCTAAGAAATCCTTGCCTCTCACCTATTTCATGGAGAATTTTGCTGCCTTCAAGACTGCAGGATGGTACCAAGTGTTATTATACACCAATATTTACATTAAGTACACATTAATAGGGTTACCATATTTCCAGTTTCAAAAAAAGGAGACCTGTGGGGGGGCAGGGTGTATGCCCATGCCCTGCCCCTCACTCCCAAGCCATAGCCCTTCCCAGCCCTGCTGCTGCCCCTCACTCCTGATCCCAGAGCCAACCCGAGAAGGGTGCAGGGCCCAGAACAAATAAGCCCATGCGGGACCCCGCCCCCACCCCCGCCCTGATCCTGCACACCCCGGACGCGTAGAAGCTGCCATCACCATCGGCGGTGGTTGTGGGGGTAGCAAGTGGCTGGATGCTAAGCTGGCAGCAGTGGTGCAGTCACCATGGCCACTCCACCCGGCTCTGCAGGGCCCCCCAAATTTCAGGGTCCAGGGTGGTCACCTGATTCACACCCCCTAGGGATGGTCCTGCCTGACCCCCAGTACTGTGCTCCCCAGGCCATGCTGGTGCCCCTCACTTCCAACCCACAGCCCCCACATCCCTTGCTGATGCCCTTCACACCTGCCCTGAAGTCCCCTGGCGCTGCCTGTGTCCTGTGCCCCTGCCCCCCAGTCCCACACCTGCTAGTGCCCCTCACTGCCAAGCCACAGCCCTCCCAGCCCTGCTGGTACCCCTCAATCTGAACCCACAGCCCGTGCCTCCACAGTCCTGCTGATGTTCCTCACTTCCAACCCACAGCCCCTTAACCAGCCAGCCATGCCAGTGCCCCTCACTCCTGACCCACAGCCCCTGCGCTCCCCCAGCCCTGCTGGTGTGCTTCACTCCCAAACTGCAGCCCCCTGCCCCCCCAGCCCTGCCAGTGCCCCTCACTCCAGACACATGGTCCCTACCCCTTCCCTCCCCCAGCCCTGCTGGTGTGCTTCACTCCCAAACTGCAGCCCCCTGCCCCCCCAGCCCTGCCAGTGCCCCTCACTCCAGACACATGGTCCCTACCCCTTCCCTCCCCCAGCCCTGCTGGTGTGCTTCACTCCCAAACTGCAGCCCCCTGCCCCCCCAGCCCTGCCAGTGCCCCTCACTCCAGACACATGGTCCCTACCCCTTACCTCCCCCAGCCCTGCTGGTGTGCTTCACTCCCAAACTGCAGCCCCCTGCCCCCCACAGCCCTACCAGTGCCCCTCACTCCCAACCCAAAGCCCCTTCCCATGCTCCTCACTTCTGACCTGCAGCCCCCACCAGCCCTGCCTGTGTCCCTTCTGTCCCACAGCCTCCTAACCCCCCCACCAACGCCGTTCCCACCACCACCACCCGCTCCCTTCAGCCCCAAGCAGCTCCTTGGTAGGGCAAGCCAGGAAGTGCTGAGAAAGCAAAGGTAGAGCAAAATCCCAGACATCTGCTTATCTTTAAAAAAACTGCCCAAGCACAGATGGGAGGACCCAAAAAGTTGACATGTCTGTGAAAACCCAGATGTATGGTAACCCTACCCATTATTTGATTACAGTATATAGATAGCTGCCACTGGATTTTTTGTTCTTAAATACAACTAAATCATAATCAGTCCATGTTAATTTTATCGCACTTTTGAATTATTCAGCATGTTACAGCTTTACTTTAATGAGAGTAATTCTCATTAATAGCAATCAGCTGAATTCTTAGCTTCATTTTAATTGGCACACCATGGTTCCTATTTGGCTTTTTCCTATGCTTGTAAGAAATTTACACCACCATGGGCCAGATCCTATTCCACTTATTAGTATATAGGTGACACTTGGGCATCTTAGGGTAGGTCCATGCTGGCTCTTGAGACTGACATCTGAAAAAAATAAACTTCACCTACATATTTCCACTCCACATGCTCCAAACCCAGAAACACACTGGCTCCTAGGCCACCAGTCCTGGGATGATTTTTCAGTATCACCCTTGCAAACAGCCTAAAATCAGTGTAAACATATCCTGAGTCTCTAAGAGCAATATTATTCCACTCTACTTGAGTTTCTGAGCCCTCTGGGAAGTAACCTTACCGTGTAGACATGGCCTTAACTCCCTCAGGACTACATAGGGCGCATCTACACATTCATTAAAGTGCCATAATTACAGCGCATTAAGTTTAGTACCTGTAATTATAGGTACTACTTTAATGCACTGAAACACCCAGGCTGAAACACCCTGCGACAGGTATGTGAAGAATACAAAGAAAAGAAACTGGAGACACCAAAGAAACCATGCCGAGTCAAAGCGGGAAAAACACCATGCCCCAACTAATTAAGGAAAACAGCTGGAACCGCAGCAGTTCAAAGGCTGCTATGGCAAGCCCAGCTGCCAGAGTTCGAGCCCAGGACATGGAGAGTGGTGCAGCAGCAGAAGAAAAAAGAAGCCTCACTGAAAAAGAAAAGGAAGAACAGCTGGGTCAAAGAGCAGTGAATCATATGCTGCCATAGGGGGCAGAGCAGGGAAGAAAGGGATGCCAAGGGAGCATCCAAGGTCAGTTCGGACAGATGGGGAGCAGAGTGAAGATAGAGAGGATGTCAAGAGATGATGGGAGAAGAAACTGACCCCGGGGCTTAGAGGAAAGCCCCGGTACCCAAGACTTACCTGGAGAGAGCCAACAAAGAGATGGAGGAGACTGCTCTATTGGGGAGTCCAGTCCCAAGAGGTGGAGATAACCGCTTCAGCATCCTAAAAGAGAAAAGGGACATGGATGAGATTACACCCCAAGGAGAGGTAAATACATCCCAACCCTGAAGGTAAGGGCAGGATTAGAATAAAGAAGAGGCTGTCTTGGGACTCATGCAGGAAAGAATGGGGCAAGCAGCCAAACTAAAAAAGGACTCCTCAACAAAGGAGCCCATAAGACTAGGATCAGACCCTCAGTCCAGAAGGCAAATGACGGCAGGCCTGGAACATCTGGTGTGGTTAGGGCAGGGGATGGGGATGGTGGAGCCCTATGAAGATAAGCCAACCTCCTGAGCCTTTAACTGATTCTTTTGTCTCCCAAAGTGTTTGGTACTTCTCTCTCACTAGCATCAAAGTGTGGCAGGAGATTTTTGAAGGACAGAACACTACAATTCCAGCAAAGAGACAGCTCAACTCCAGAAGGCATGTCACCAACCACTTACATGCACCATACATTGGCTCTACTGTGCTTTAGTGCCAGAGCACACTATTTTGGTAAAAATGAGCAGGAGATTAATTCTACTGTGTATTGATGCATTAGTGCAGGTTTTGCTCACTGACCTAATGCTCAGGAAAATTAGTCTACTGCACTCAAAGAATCTTGTGTAGATGTGCCTATAGACAACTAATAGGTAAAATAGGACCTGACCAATTAATAAAATTTGATGTATACACAGAGCCATCCCTAGGGGGGTGTGGGGCCCAGAGCATGTCAGCCTGTGTGGGACCTGGGATGGGTGGCAAGCAGCATAGGCAGAGAAAGAGGAAAAAAAATGGGGGGGACTGAACATGTGCACGCACACATGACCCCTCCTCCCCCATGGAAAAGTCTGTGTGGGGAGGGGAAAGGGCCATGCAGGGAGGCAGCATCTCAGCACTGTGCCAGTCCTAGATGTCTCCTAGCCCCAGCTGCTTCCTGGCTCCAGCCACACCAGTCCCAGCCCCAGCCCCAGCTGGCTCCTGGCCCCTGCAGCCTGGGGGGGGACCCAGAGCTGGGGGCCAAAGTGGGGCTAGCCTCAGCTGCACCACCGAGCCAGAGAGCTCCTTGCCTCTGCCCCTCCCTGCTGCCACTGCTTCAAAAATGGCAGGCACCCCAGTGACTGGGGCCCTGGCTGGGCCAGTTGAGGGACAACTACAGCCTGGCAGCTTGCCCAGGGGCACATTGTGGGGGAGCCGGGAGGGGGATGGAATTTACCAGTCATGGTGAATGGGGCCCCAGGTGGGCCGGGTCAGGGGACAATCCCCATTGTGCAACAGGGAAGGGGCAAGGGTGGGGGTGAATGATTCAGCCTTCCCCTACCCTACTCTCCCCTGCACTGTGGGGGTCTCAATCTGCACCCCACCCCCCCAGGGTGATAAAGAAGATTAAACTAAATTTACCTGCCTGTGTGTGGCTGGGCCAGCTGCAGTGCTGGCT